CCCCCCCCCCCCCCCCCCCCAGCCTTCTGCAGCGCCCTTGGCCAGTACAGCACGTTCCTCTGCAGAGCTCCGCGTTACGGGTTTCCTGGTTGGCTACTCGCCCTGGTAGGCACTTTCTGATTGGCCGACGTGCCCAGGTTTCCACCCGCCAGAGCCTCTCGGCTGGCGGTTCCGCGTTAATTCGGCATTGAACCGCGGCAAAGGCGGCAGAGGCATGCCTGTGGTTGGCACCCCGCCGCTCGAACACCTGCACCCACCCACTCCCAACAGCCCTGCTCCAATGCCACAATTAGCAGAGACGAAATAGCTCCGCGAGACCGCAAGTGGGGGGATGGCCGGGGGTGGACCGAGGAAGTGCCTGTGAGGTGCTCTGAGCTGGGGCAAGAGCAAACAGAAGCTAGAGTCAGCATCTGCCAGAAGGAGCCCCCGGGACAAACCCAGACACAGATTCCTTTGGTATTTGTACATTCATTCAACACTTGATAGCGTCTACTGCATACTAGAACTAAGTCTGGGCATCTGGGGTGGAGGAGGGCTGGTAGAAGGAGAGGACATCTGAGCGAGGGAACAAAGTCAGAATATGTGATCCTTTCGTTTGAACATTTATTCAACACTTATCAACGCCTACTGTATACTAACAATAGCGCTGGACATCATGGAGAATAGAGAAGAGGAGTCAGAACGGCACGTGTCTCCACAATGAAGGGAACAAACCCAGACACTAATACTGTTAGCATTTGCTCATTCGATTTTGCACCAATTCGCATTTACTGAATTCTGAGCCCCTTGTGATGAGACAAATCCTAAGAATCATCATAACTGTGGAATTAGCTAATACCTAGTGTGCCTGGTTAGTGTTTTAAGATTGCATAGCATCATGAATTCATTTAATCCACAACAAACCTAAGAGGGTCGATATTATCATCATTCCCATTTACAAAGGAGTAAACTGAAGCACAGAAAGAGAGTAGGCTGAACATTTGAAGCCCCATGTGTGCTGTGAGTGGAGGGACCCCTCTGTGAAAGGGTTCAGATGAAAGATTCATGACACCTGGAGTCTGTCAGGGTGCTACTTTCTCTGGGTCGATTTCCCTCTGTAAAATAGGTCAGTTGATGGGTGGAAGTAAAGACAAAGTTGATGAATTTTTGGTCATCTTGGGAAGACTGAGCTGAAGTGAGTGATTCTGGTCGCTACCACAGGGTATGAGAGGTCTGTGTTTACAAGAAAGTGGAAGTTTGTGCATTATGAGACATATCTTTGTGTATGTGTGATATGCAGACCTATGGGTCTGGGCAAGAATTAAGGATGTATTGAGTGTATGCAGAATGCATTTAAAGTTACAGCCACGTGTGCGCCATAACAATCTGAATTATAGATGTGTGTGTGTGTGTGTGCACATGCACGCATGTACATGTGCGTTAATGTGCCATAGATATGTGCGAGTGTGCATTATAAACATGGGTACGATACTGATTACGAACATATGTCAGGTGTGTGTGTCTCAGGGTCGTTGCTCACCAATGCACAACAAAGAAAATCATTCCTGGAACCCCTTCGGTTCATTCATTCCTGCTGGAGAAGATGGAGACAGTGCAGTGGAGCCTTACCTCTGCCTCAGGGAGTTGAGACACTCTTGAGGGGAATCCTCATTCTTCTGTAAAACAATCTAGAAAACATGTATTTCTGGGGATCGAGCCACCTAGAGAAAGGGAATGTTGCTGGGGGCCGTGAATAGTAGAAACCTAGGAATAGGGGCCCTGGGAAGAGGCAGTCTGGAGACAGATTCCTAAGTTCCCCAACTTCTGGCCCTGAGAGGAGCCAGAAAGATCTGTAGACCCGCACCTGCTCCTGTCCCCCGGAGAGGCCACCACGGGTCCCGCACACAGCCTGTTTACTTCAGTTATTGAGCAAAAAACTGGGAAACACATACCTCTACATGTTGGGAAATTAACTGACTAATGGGGAGTTCCCCATCTGGGGGACACTGGGAGATGGAATGCAGAGAGAGCATCCAGGAAAGACAGGGAAGGAATAGCCAAAGAAAAGACCCAGGAGTGAGACTGAGGCTGCCTGGCACGGAGGAGGGAGTAGAAAAAGAAGAATTTGACCTGAAGACTGTGGGAGGCTGGGGGAAGAAGAGATGGAATCTGAGTCCTGGACGAGGGGACTTCCTGGAGACCTTGGCCAAAGATATCCTTGAGAGAGAGAGAGGTAAAGGACATTCCTGGCAGAAGCCACAGCACATGCGAAAATATAGAGGTCGTCTCCCACCCACACACACCCCCCCTTACAGGTGGGTCAGTTGATCATTTTGACAGATGAGGAAACCAAGTCTCAGAGGGGTTAAGTCACTTTCCCAAGGGTATGGTGGAGGTCTAGTTTGAACTTCAAGCACTCTGACTCTGGGCTCCACCCCATCACTACCTTGTTTAAACAGGCCAAGGATCTAATGAATAAAGAATGAACAAATGAAGAACGGGTGGATGATTCAACTGAAAATCCTGCAGGCAGAAGAGACTCCAAATCTGCCTATTTCTTACCATATCTTCTTCCACCTCACTTGGTCCACCCCCATCACTCCCTGCAGCCCACAAGAACCTGCTCAGTCTGGTCCCTGCTAAGCAGTCTGACGCCATCTCCTGCCACAAACTCCCTTGCTCACTTTGTTCCAGCCACACTGGCACCTCTTTCTAGCACATTCTATTTAAGAAATGCATGGATCACAAAGTCAACATGGCCCTTTGGGAATGAACTGGAGTTTTGGATTCCTTCATCTGTAAAGTAGCAATGTTTCCCACCCCACAGGATTGTTGTGAGGGTTGGATGAGACAATACCTTAATTAAGCATTCGGTGCTGTCAACAAATGATTGCTTTTAAATGGATTTGTGCTTTCACTGTAGTCAGGATCCTACAGGAGCTGTCAGGATGGCTTCCACAGCCCACCTCTGCCTGGACTATACAGGTCATTTGCTCGTGTGGCAAACATTATTTGGCACCTACTGTGTGCATACCCTAGGAAAAGTCTGTGGAAAGTTCTCTGGTCCAGGGAGACAACGATGGGCACCGATGATACCAGGTGGTTATGGTGGTTTTTGGCTTGTCCAGGGCAGAGGGATGGGGACATATAGACTGAGTGTGTGTATGTGTGTGTGTGTGTGTGTGTGTGTGTGTGTGTGTGTAGGGCCACGGGGTGGGGAGCTAGAGCTTCAGGTGATGTGTCTGTGTGGCAGATCTAGGTTTATCACGATCATCTATGGGTATGTAATTTGGTTGTGCATGTTCGTGTGCGTTTCTCTGGGTCTCTGTGTGTCAGTGTGGTGACTGTGTGTGTATAGGCTGATATGCGTGCATGTATGCATGCATGCACATGTGTGTTACCCTGGGCTTGTGTATGCCTACAGACCTAGATCGGTGGGTTATCTGTACGTGCCTCCGTGTGTTTCTTTACTTCTGTGTGTGTCCATATGTTTCCCCAAGTTTGTGTCATTCTTGTGTGCCTCCAGGCCCCTGCAAGGGTATGTACCCCACCCAAGTGTCCAAGTCTGCCTATCTGATGCTGTCGATGCCGCCCCCGCATCCTCTGTCTGCCTAGCTGAGCCTGTATGGATATGGGAAGTTAATCTCCCCCCCACCTCCAAGGTACTGCGTGTGGCCCCCACCCGTCGCGGTGAGGTTACTTCTCTACTTTTGATTCTTTGCGTGTTCTTCCATTCCCACCTCACCCCCCCCCCCAACATGACTTCTGTAGTGAACATCAACACTGGAAATTGAGTATCTGCCGAGAATCCTGCGTGTGGCTGAGACTGGGTGCGAAGACCAGAATGAGGCGGGGTGGGGGGTCTTGCCAGGCCACTCACCCCCAATCCTCCTAACAAGTACCTACCCCGCCCCCACTCCCCAAATTGCGCATCCCGGTTCGGACGAGGGGGAGGGGAAACAGGTTGCGGCGTGGCGCGTGCGCACTGCCGCCTTCAGCACCACGGACAGCTCCTTCGCCCCCGCCTGCCGGCGCGCGCCACCGCCGCCCCAGCACTGAAGGCGCGCTGACGTCACTCGCCGCTCCTTCGCAAACTCCCCTTCCTGGTCGCCTTGGTCGCGTCCGCGCCGCCGCTGGCCCAGCTGGACAGCACCATGCGGGGCGCGAGATAGGGGGGTACGGGCGCGACCATCCGCGCTGCGGCGGCGGCGACTCGGCGCTGCCTCAGTCTGCAGCGGGCAACCGAAGAGTCGCGTCGTGCCTGAGAGCGCAGCTGTGCTCCTGGGCCCCGCGCGGTCCGCCCCCGCGGCTCCTGACCAGACTGCTCCTAGGACCCCCTGCCCCGCGCCGCAGCCATGAACTACCTGCGGCGCCGCCTGTCGGACAGCAACTTCATGGCCAATCTGCCAAATGGGTACATGACAGACCTGCAGCGCCCGCAGCCACCCCCGCCGCCGCCTGCTGCCCCCAGCCCCGGAGCCACACCCGGTTCCGCGACTGCCACTGCCGAGAGAGCCTCCGTGTCTGCCCCTGTGGCCTCTCCGGCTGCCCCTAGCCCTGGGTCTTCGGGGGGTGGTGGCTTCTTCTCGTCGCTGTCCAACGCGGTCAAGCAGACCACGGCGGCCGCGGCTGCCACCTTCAGCGAGCAGGTGGGCGGCGGCTCTGGGGGCGCAGGTCGTGGGGGCGCTGCCGCCAGGGTGCTGCTGGTCATCGACGAGCCCCACACCGACTGGTAAGCCACTGCTGCGGACGTCTTCCCGCGGGCCTGGGTCCCCAGATCGTTCCACGATGAGCACTTAATCAAGCGCCGCTTGTGTGCCAGACATCTGGCCCCCTTGCCCAAACCTTCTTCCTTTAAATTATTATGCTGGGCGCTTCCTGTGTGCCCCATCCTTGCCCCCCACCCAGGCCTTCTCGCTCCATACAGGGAGCAGTTATCGGGCGCCTGCTGTGTACCTCCTTCCCAAAAGCCTTGGCTTGAATATATCCTGTGAGCATTCGAGAGCCAAATGTTCCCTGTTCCCCCAACCCTCACCCCAAAGGCCTTGTCCTTTAATGGACCCTGTGAGCATTTATCAAGTACCTGCAGTGTGCCTTATCGGGAGCGCTTCCCCAAAGCCTTTGGCTTCCATGAATTTTGTGAACGTACATTGAGAGCTTGCTATGTGTCTTGTCCTCCTCAAACCTTGCCTGAAGAACTTCTCTCTAATAGGTCTTGTGAACATGTATCCAGAGTGTGGTATGTGCCCCACCCCAGCCCTCTCCCCAAAGACCTTTTAAGCTATTCAGTGAACATTGATTGCCTGCTGCGTATCCCATCCCATGGTCTCACGAAAAGTGTTGCCTTTAATGGGTCCTGTGAGCCTTTATTGAATGCCTTCTGTGTGTCCCAACTCCAAGCCTCCTCTCCAAGGGCTTATTTCTCCCAAGGATCTAGGACGCATTTATTAAGTGCCTGATGTATGCCCTATCTCCAAACCCCTTTCTCGAACGTATTTTGCTCAAATGAGTCCCCTAAGCATTTTTAACCTTCTGTGTGTGACTCATCTTCAGACTCTCCCCTAAATCCTTTTCCTACGATGGATCTAGAAGGCATTGATTGAGTGCCTCGTTTAGCCTCCATTCTCAGGCTACTTCAAAGACCTTTCCTTTGGTGAACCCATCTAGCATTTATCACCTGCCTGCTGTGTGAGCCTACTCTAAAGCTTTTTTCCTCCAGTATATTCAGCAAGCATTTATTGAGTGCCTACTGTTTACCCCATCCCCAAACCCTGTCCCCAGTGGCTTCAGTCTGCATGTGTTGAACACCTTCTGCATGGCCCAACCTTCTCCATAAAGGCTTACCTCCCATTAATACAGTGATCAGGTATCTAGCACTTGTTGTATGCATCATTTCAATCCTCTTTCCAGAGACCTTTTCTTTTTAATCACTCCTTGGAGCATTTGTGGAGCACCACTGTGTGCCTGATTCTGTGCCCTCTCCCCAAAAGCCTTTTATATCACGGATAGAGAATCAACATTACATGGACCAATCTTCTGCATCCCCATTCCCTTCCACAAAAGACTTTTCCTCCAGTGAATCCAATGATTGTATGCCCATCCCAACCCCCGCCCCCGCAAAAACCTTTTCTTTTAATGGATCCAGTGAGCATTTATTTATCCCCTGCCAGGTGCTCGATTCTAATCACCTTCCCCCAGGTGCCTTTTCCTCCAATGGCTCCTGTGAGCATTTATAGAGTGCCATCTGTGTGCTCTACGTTCACACCTCCTTCCCAGAATCTTTTTCTTTTAGTGGATCTGGTGAGCATATGTGCAGTTACTGTTTTGTGGAGGGAGTAGATACCCCTTCCTTACCCCTAGTAGAACCTGTGCCAGTCATAAAGCCTCTAGCTAGGGTTCTTTCTTTTGATAAATCTAGAGCCCAGTTTATAAGGATTACTCTTTTCCCACTCCCCTTGGGGTCCCTAGGATTCCCTCTCCCAATCTCAAGTCCATACCCCCAAAAGGTCTTTCTTCTATTTAAGCCAGTAAACACTTATTGAGTTCCTACTGTATAAGGGCCGTTCTCAACATCCCCTTTCCAAGTCTGGAAGTTGCTGCCCCGTCTCAAGAGCTCTCTCTCCAGGGGTCTACTTCAATATAAATGTATTGAGTTACCAGCTTTTTACTAGTTAGATCACCCCTCCACCCCAGGAGCCTTTACCCAGCAGCCTTTCTCTCTATTCAGAGCCATTTATTCATTCTACAGATATTTATTGCATACTTTCCATGTGTCAGAATGTGGGAGGCATTCATTTAGCATTACTATATACCAGGAAGAACTCTCCTTCAGTGCCATTTCCTTCTAACCCCAACCACCAGCTGTATTCTTTTTGCCTTTTCGTCCATTCAACCCCACAATTGTTTAATGAGCACTTACTGTATACTAAGAACCCTATATTCAGTGCCTCTTTCCCTCCCCCCCTTGTAGCCCCAATTCACCCTTCAACAATCTCCATCCTGCCTTTGACACTAGGCAATCCTGAAAGCTCATAATATGCACCTACTGTATTCTGGCTAGGTCCCTTCCCCCACTTAGTAGCCATCTTCCCACCTGCTCTTCCCCAACCAATTAATCCGAAAAGCATTTATTAATCTCTTACTGTATTCTTTTCAAACAACCACATCCTCTTTGCTCCATCAATCCATAAAGCAGTTCTTAAACACATGCTCTAATTCCTTCACCAACACCCACTCACACAGGAGCCATCTTCCTGGCTAACTTTGCTCCACTGAAGTCAACAAACCTTAATGGGGCCCCTGCTGTATATTGGTAACCACCGTCCTTTAGACTTCCCTTCTCCACTCCTATACTCCAAGGAGGTTCTTTGCCATGTTTTCCTTCATCCAATTGAACATTTACCAATTGTCTCCGAGATACTGACAAGACCCTCCCCCTTTCCATAATCACAACTCCAACAAGCATTCATTGAGCACCTGCTGAATTCAGTGAAAGGTTCTTCCCTTCTCCTTCTGTGTCTCAGAACACCCCCAGCAGCTGCGCTAGTCTTTTCTTCCAGTCAATCTAGCAAATGTTTATTTAGTGTCTTCTATAGATGGGATGGGATGGACAAAGATCCCGTGTACATCAGGCTCCGCGTGGCAAACAGAGACCTCTGCATCACCAACCTGCAGGCATAGCGAGTACCATCCGCACTCCAGCCTGGAATAAAGGAGGAGTTGTGCACAGTCTGTAATGGATTGTACACTTAGATAGAGTCTGACAACTTTCCCACCAAACCTCACCCCTCTCGTTCTCTCCTGGGTCTCAAATCCTCTGTGGCTTAAAGTTACGAACTCTGAGTTGAGACTCATCTCCTCTTTTTAGAGATAATTTGGTTCAGTGTTTTTTCAAACTGTGGCTCACCTGTTGGCTTGTGATCAGCATTTCATTTTCTTCATGAATCAGTGTAAATGAAAATAGAACATAACAAGAATATGTTACACATTATAAGTGCAATTATTATTATTTAGTGTAACTGTTACTCCAAGAAATATAATCAGTAATGTATACCATATATTATATGTGACATATACTATATAATACATTTGCTATATAATAGGTTTATAGTATATAATACATATATATGTGTATGTTTTTCTTCATGAAATGGAATAGAATAGAGTAGGAAATATCAGACTCCATTGCACACAGTAAAGGTAATTTACTAAAGCTTTCTTCCAATTATATATGTATATTTATATACTTTCTAGGTACATATACACATAGTATGTGATATGAAATATGTTATATATTATATAAGCCATACTATATTTGCTGTATAACATATTACAGATGTCATATAATATAAATTACATATATAGGGCAGGTAATTATGTATCTATGTATATAGTGGGTTATATAAACTATATCTCTTACTGTGGCTTCTTTTCTTAGACTTCCCTGGAAGCAGGCCCTGAGACTCTGAGGTTTGTGTGCAGTCTTCTTGGGGAGAGCTCTTGGGAACAACACCTGTTGCGGGGGAGGAGTGAGGGAACAGGATTTAGCAGAAGGAAAGGTTGAGCGATGATGCAGCCACAACAGAAGCCTCAGCCAATCCTCTGGGGGAGCTCTGCAGCTAGAATGACCCTTCAGAGTTACCCCAATTGGGGCGGGGTATCCAGGCTTTTGTATTCTTACATCAGTCAACCATTAGCCACAGGCTGCCCCCTGGAAGGAGGCATAATCATGGGGAAGGCAAATCCCTCCTGCAGAGGCCAACTCCCAGTGAGGGACAGCACTGGGGGCCATCAGTAGCACATATTCCCAGAAGCCCGGAGAGAGATGGGTAGGCCTGAAGGTGCAGGTGGGAGGCGTGAGGTTCTGGGCGGAGCACAGAGTCTCCTCCTTGCACTGCTCAGATTCACTTGCTTCTTAGAGTAAGTTTACCCTGTCTGGGAACAGCATTGCAGCCTGGGAACAGGACTGTAATTGGTCTTGTTTCCTGGGGGAAGCTTGAAAGAACACGGTTAGTGGGATGAACGACAGCCCCCACTGCTGCACGTGATAAAAGTGGCATAAATAAATGATATGCTTTGGTCTCCTTCTTCTGCGACACATTCTAGGTTCCCCTCACCCCAAGCTAGCACCTCTCTTGGTCTCAGCGGCTTACCCGATGAGTGATTCATCCCTTCATCCTCGAGGGATCCCTGAGCCCTTGGTCCCCATGCCCTTCCAAGGCTGTGGCTGCTGTACTTGTTCATTTGCCACCAAAGTCGTACAAGGAGTACCAACAGATGCCTAAGTGGATCACCTGGGTGCCATGCATATTCCTCCCTGCCCCCACTGTGCAATAGCAGCCCTACCTCCTCCTGATGTTCAAGGTCATGTACCCCTGCGAAGACAGCGATACATTCCTCTTCATATCCGTTTGGCATGTGAAACCTGAAGTGTCCAGGTGGCATCCATAGCTTAGAATGTAATAGAGTTCTTGCCGTGTCCCCTGGTAGCATGTTACCCCTTGGAGAACCAGGACCTCTAACCTTGCAGAGCCTTGAGGGAACAGGAAGCACACATTCCAAAAGTGGATCACTGGGACTGATGGTAAGCTGGGCCTCTCCTACTCTCACCTCTGAGTTCCCGGACCCGCGTATTCTACCCACTGGGAACACAGCACAAACGATGGGTTGTCGATTTCGGGTGTTTTAGAGGATGGTGCCCCATTCTTTCGTGGTATCATTTCCAAGCTAGGA